GCAAGCCGCTTCAAAAACGCTCCCAAGTGAAGGACTGGAAGGATGGCGTCCCGATACACGAGCAGAGTCACGAACTGCTTGTTTGTAAAGGTGGTTCTTTCAAGGGATCACAGTTGCATTGGTCTGTAGTGGAGAAAGAAGCCTACCCAGTTGTCTACGCAGCAACGGAGCTTGAGTACTTACTTCATCGGCCACTCGGATACCGTATTTTTACGGACCACGCCAATCTGATCCAGATATTTTGCCCGAGCAGCGATCTCAAGAAGCACGTTCGGGGTAAATTGCAGCGCTGGTCATTGAAGCTCGCTGGGACTCGCTATGAGATTGACCACGTGCGTGGCGAGGATAACCACTGGGCTGATTTGGTGTCGAGGTGGCCAGTGCGCGAGGACGTAGAGGTTGTGGTGAAGGCCAAGACTGTGAGGACTCGGAGCCAAGCATCACCTAGTCAGTTGCGTCCTCTGCAAGACGATGATTTTGAGAGGCCATCTCCAGAAGCTGTCCGTGAAGCTCAACTAAGTTACTACCGTGCACTACCAGCTACGTCGGAAGAACGAGAAGGTCTTCAGTATGTCGACGGCAAGGTGTGGATTCCCCGCCAGGCGAAGGATTTGCTGACTCGTGTGCTGGTTGTGGCTCATTGCGGTATTCAAGCTCACCGAGGTGTCCAGGTGATGTTGAATCAGCTTCAGGGCTCGTATGCCATTGACAACGTCTGACACGATTTGTCAACGGATGTCTTCTCTGCAAACACATCAAGGGAGGGAAGCTGGTGCAGCGTCCCTGGCCAGAGACAGCGACGGCTACCAAGCGGAATGAGGTGCTACACATGGATTATATCTCAATGGGAGACAGCTATGGAAGTACGAAGTATGTACTCGTCTCAAAGACGAGCTAACTCACTTCTGTGAGCTGATTGCCTGTGATTCTCCAACCAGTGATGTCGCTGTCACCGCCATTTTGGACTGGCACAAGCGGTATGGCCTCCCAGCGAAGTGGGTCTCCGATAATGGAAGCCATTTCGAGAGTCTAGTGATGGCTGAGCTGGCCACGCGGCTTCGTGGGATGCAAAGTTTCGTGCCTGTGTATTCACCCTGGATCAACGGCACCGTTGAACGGATCAATCGAGACTTGTTGCAAGTCGTCCGTGCGTTACTGCTGGAATTGGAGCTGGACACACACAGTTGGGAGTTCCTGTTGCCAATTGTACAGGCAAATCTGAACCAGAGCGCTGTTGCTTCACTTGGAAATAAGGCGCCAATGGAGCTGTTCACGGGTCTTCCAGTCACGACACCGTTTGCTTCCTGATAGCGATTCGCCGTTGCAGCACGTCGACCTGAGCAACGTGGAGGCGTTCCTGCACCAACTCCGTGCAAGTCTACACTTGATGCACATGGACGCGGTTGATCGCAAGGAGAGGCGCCGACTGTATCAACAAGCTCAAAAGATAGGGGACATCTGCAATTTTTCTGCTGGCGATTTCGTCCTCTGGTCTCGTGTGGACGCGCGGCGGGATAGCGGCAAGCTCCTAGTCCGGTGGGTCGGACCTTTTCAAGTGGAGGAGGTCAAGTTGCACTCGTTCCTGATACGCCACTTGCTGACGCGAGCGGTTCATGAAGTCCATGGATCTCGTTTGAAATTCTACCACGACCCCAGCCTGGAGCTCTCGGAGGAGCTAGTGGAACATATTGCCAAGCAGGGCATTGTGCTCGGCGTTGAAGCCATCCTCCAACACCGGTACAACGAGACGTCCCGTCAACACGAGCTGCTGATTTCATGGGTTGGGCTCGAGTCCATTGAAGACTCATGGGAACCGCTCGACGTTATGTTAGCAGACATCCCGACTAAGGTGAAGGAGTATGCTGCGAGCCAAGACGACGCGGAGCTACGGGGTCTGTGCGGTCTCCAAGCTGTGTCACAGCAGTAGACGAGTTTGTCTACATGTGTCGACAATTGTGCTGGACTGTGTTTTGGTGGGCGGTGTGGCGCTGTGAATCTTCAAACACACCCAGCGACTGGTGGCAGCCTGGCGCCAGGATGCGATCCAGTCTCTCAGGGTGCGGAAGGATAGCTAGCGCCGCTTTCATGTTTTGCGTTGCTCTCAGAATTCAATTTGCTTTCTCAGTGCATTGGTCGTCATAACATTAAAATTTTGAAAACCCAAAAATCAAATATGAGTCGAGCGAACCCAGGTGCAAAATGAGATTGATTTTATCCAAAGTGGACAGAAGCGAGAGGCAAGCCTCAATCTTACTGTCCGTAAGAACACGGCGCTTTTCGGCGGAGGAGTGCTTGAGGAAGGAGGCTTGGGCGGACATCTGCTGCGGTGGCGGTGGAATTGGAAGTGAGCTTCTTGATCTCGCTGGTGGCGTTCAAAATTTTAATGTTCACTTTGCTTGAATTTATTCCTAGCTAGACCGGGCAAAGGTGTAGAAGTATAGGAAGGGTTTCATACAAATTGTCAGTCAAACTGCAGTACAGTGGCGTGGCATACCCCGACTAAGATGATATTTGAGGTGAATGTTACCTGTGGCGGCAGGTTGTGTGGAGCACCCCAAATAGCAACATTCGAGCGACCTACGTAGAAATTTTGCGTTAACCGATCAGAATGTAATGATAGAAAAATACATTAACGGGGTGGGTGCATGGTGTGGTGGTTGGCGAATCCACAACCTGTATCCTAGCAAAGCTTAACTAGGCGCCACTACTGGATACCCATGATCGGGCTTGGGATTGGCTGCCTGGCTTTCCTGGGCTGCCAGCAATGGCAGGTAAGGGCAGGCAGTAGATTAGTATCAGTTCTCAATTAGCATCCCAAGGAACAAGCAATACACGTTGTACTTGGTGAGAGTTCCAGCTCCCAATCAACCGTGTTATACTTGCCTCAAGGTGCAACACGTCACACATGGTCGTAGCGATAAACATCAGTCATGTTGCATCTTTTGATGGACAGAGTACGACTTCACCGCTTCGCTATCATGATTTTTCTCTCACTTCCATTTCGCGTTCGACCACTAAACCAAGCACTGGAACTCATCACTAACCGAATTTACTACCCATTTTAAGCGGTTAGCTACGGCGGCGAATTGGAGCAGTAGCTAGCTACGGCTGTTCAAAGGCGATGCTGACCGGAAGTCTGTGACCGATCAGCTACAGCGTTCGATGACTTCGTGAGGCCCTACGAGTGCTACGGCAAGTCCATCATCAAGGCCACGGCCAACACCTACGGGGCTCCTTCTTTCTACGCTCTTCACCCGCGCGCAACGTGTTTACCCCTCCTGTTCTGAACCACGACGTCGCTGACGACCTGAGACTGTGGCTTGGCGTGTTCTTTGCATCACGCCTTGCGAACGCCATCATGCTGCTCCACGTGCACTTCTACATCCAGTTGATCGACTGGCGGTGTCGCTTAAGTTTTTGTTTGTTTTTGAATTGAGGATCATTATTGTCACTTAGCTAATACGATCGCTAACGACTACTAAAGACCGGGGACCTCACCTGTGCCAATATGCGTCACTAGGAAGCGGTGTCGCTTTAGAGGCAGCTCTTCAGGGAGGCCGTGCGTCACAGCATCCAGAGCGGAGGCGACTCCAAGGCCGTGGGCATCTCCAACCTCTTTTCTTCAGATGTCGACAAAGTGCTCTGGGCGGCGTTCGAGATCAACCTCGAGTGGATCATCCCTGGTTGTTGTTTTCATGTTGTACGACCTTTTGATTTGAACTTGTTGCGATTTAGTCGGCTATCTACACCCGGTGCTGAGGGGGCACGACCTCATCGGCGTTGCTGCCTTTGCCGGGCTTGCGTGCGACTATCAGGAATTTCGTGTACATTGGTGCGCTCAGCATCTTCGTGCTGTGGTACACTCCGTTGAGTGTCTCGGTCGCTCGCAGTGGTAGGAGAACGAGTTGACGGTGGGAAGTTTTTACAGCAATCGCTCTGTTTAACTCCCCATGACTCGCTGAGAGACTTGAATTATACCGTGTGGGCATCTCTTTTCTTCCTGTTGGATCAGGTCCACCAATTCAGTATTTTATATTTAAAAAATAACAGTAGAATGAGAGCGAATATATTTCGAATACTTTAAACTTCAGAGCTTCTTCGGGCCGCAGGCTTTGTTTCGAAATACGAATGTAGAATAAACCGTCGTCCTGGCAGTACAAAGAGCCGAGTGCAGTTGCTACTTCCGGCAATCACGCACTTCAACAGCAAATATTTTCAATACTTAAGTTGGGAAACTAATGATTCGTAACCTAAAGTATAATAAAGTGCCAGGGTAGTGTCAACGCGGGTGAACTGAAGCACCAAATGGCTACATTGAGCTAGAAACTACTAGACAGTTAACATGAAGTTACCCCAAAGGTGGCGGCATCATTTTCGTTGCTTGCGGCTTGATTGCTCCTTTACTCACCTACGAATCGGTGCTTTGACGATGTTGTCTTCTGGTTGCCGTGGAGGATAATCACTGTGTTGCGAGGTTAACGGATAGACTAGGGGGAGAGGAGTGTGGAGGAGTCGTCAAAAGACGAAGTGAGTTAGATTAGAGATGGCGCACTGCCAG